CACTAGCTAAAACTGTGGCCATTCTAAGCAACTGTAAGAGTTACCACAGATAAAACTTTGCGTTTTGTTAAGATATTTTATTAAGTTATTTGAGCTATAGTGCCTGAAATCTGAAAGGTTTGGGGTCAAATCTCAGCTCAGCCACTTGTCAGCTGTATTACTACCTCAGATGATTCTATCTCTCTTTTTTTTTTCCTTTTTGTCTTTTTTACTGACCGGTAACGGGATCGCAACCCTCGGTGCTGTGCCCGCACCGCGCTCAGCCAGTGAGCGGGAACCGGTCTCCACATGGGATCCAAACCCTTGGCGGGAGCGCCACCACACTCCCAAGCAGTGCACTCTCCAGGGCGCCACCGGGCCGGCCCAGATGATTCTATCTCTCTTTTTTTTTTCCTTTTTGTCTTTTTTACTGACCGGTAACGGGATCGCAACCCTCGGTGCTGTGCCCGCACCGCGCTCAGCCAGTGAGCGGGAACCGGTCTCCACATGGGATCCAAACCCTTGGCGGGAGCGCCACCACACTCCCAAGCAGTGCACTCTCCAGGGCGCCACCGGGCCGGCCCAGATGATTCTATCTCTCTTTTTTTTTTCCTTTTTGTCTTTTTTACTGACCGGTAACGGGATCGCAACCCTCGGTGTCACACCCGTACCGGGGACCGGCAACGGGATCGCAACCCTCGGTGTCACACCCGTACCGGGGACCGGCAACGGGATCGCAACCCTCGGTGCTGTGCCCGCACCGCGCTCAGCCAGTGAGCGGGAACCGGTCTCCACATGGGATCCAAACCCTTGGCGGGAGCGCCACCACACTCCCAAGCAGTGCACTCTCCAGTGCGCCACCGGGCCGGCCCAGATGATTCTATCTCTTGAAGCCTCAGTTTTCTCATCCATAAAACGAGAGTAATAATTCTGCCTGTCTCATAGTTTGTAAAGATTAAATGACATTGCTTGTGAAATATTTAGTATTTTGTCTGCTCTGTGGAAGACATTCTAAAATACTAGTTACTAACATTACTATTATTTTGAGAAAGTTACATAATATAATCATTTTACACAGGGCCATGGTAAACTCTAGGATTTAATATTTGGGTTTCCTTAAGGGTATGAGACATTAACTTCAACATACTGCTTGATTTTGCACTTGTCTGTCTAATCAATTTTCGCTAATATCATGATTTTTTTTTTCCTTTTTGTCTTTTCTCGTGACCGGCAACGGATCGCAACCCTCAGTGTCGCGCCCGTACCGGACCGGGACCGGCAACGGAATCGCAACCCTCGGTGTTGCGCCCGCACCTCGCTCAGCCAGTGAGCAGCCGGTCTGTATGTGGGATCCGAACCCTCGCCGGGAGCGCCACCGCGCTCCCAAGCGGCGCACTGTAGCAGTGCACCACCGGGCCAGCCCCAATATCATGATTTTTTTAGAAAAGATAATCCCTCTATAACCAGGCCAAGCCTTTCCTTCCCCCTAGCTAACCATCTCACAAGTTCTTTTTTTCTTCTTTTTTTGGTGGCTGGCCAGTAAAGAAATAGAACCCTGCACCTTGGTGTTACCAGCACCACACTCTAACCAACTGAGCAACCAGCCAGCCCCATCTCAAGCTCTGTCTCTCCCCTCACCTGTTCTCTCTTCTTTACACTTTTATAAAAACAGACATAACTGCCTGTCAAAAATGGTGATTACAGAGTGAATGTCAATGAAGGAAGGAGCCATCCAACAGCTCCCTCCAGCTGCTATAGCTCAGTGTGTGCAGCTCAGTGGAAAGGCTGTGTTTTGATTTGCAAAGTGGCTATTTGCAACATCTGTTCCAAGTAAACAAATATTCCAAACCACCTCTTGAACTAGGATTTGGAGTTTAGAAGCACTGCCTTCTGTCTTGTTTTTCCAGATACAGTGTGATCAAAATTCATTCTCTCATTCTCTCTCTCTCTCTTTCAACCTTAATCCCATGATCCTGGGTCATAAATAACACCCTTTGGTGCCACCTTCTCCAAGGCCATCCATCATTCACACCTCCTGGTAGTGTAGAACGTTTCTCCCAAATACACTCTTAGTCCAAGGACTTCAGGCCAACCCACTGGTTTCTTCTGCCTCTGACAAGCTATGCTACCATGACCTTTCCAGACTCTTCCTCAACTCCCCCACGTGCAGATTCCCAGGACCCCAGCCTCACCCCTCCTTCTCTGTATACTCAACCTTGAATTGGCCAGTCAGCTCTTATGTCTCATATTCTGATGAGAAAGACATCCTCCCATCGGCCACCAAACTGCCCCCATTAGATTGGTCTCTGAGGGCTACAGATCCACAGAACAGCTCATACTGGAGTGTCCTGCAGCCAACTCAAATTCATCTTGGGGCCAACAACCTCAAAAAGTAAGCATTAATGAAGGGCTGGCCAGCTAGCTCAGTAGGTTGGAGTGTGGTGCTGACAATACCAAGGTCCAGGATTCAATCCCTGCACCAACCAACGGCCAAAAAAAACGTTAAGGGTTAATGAAAGGATGTTGGGTCTCATAACAGGGAAACTTGAATAGAGCCTCTGGCTATATGACACTAACTAGCTTAGTTAAGCATATCTCAGTTTCTCCTCTATATAATGAGGGGATGGTCAGGATAAAGTGTTATCATATAGGCTCTAAGATCCTAAATGCCCACCCTCCCCATACCAGAATACACTTATTTATTTATTCAATCATGCAATAATTATTGAGTGTCTGATACTACAAAGCAATGTGTCGGGTACCATGCAAGGTTAAAGATCATCCCTCAAAGAGATTATCCTCTAGAATGGAAAATAAGTCATTCGCACCAGTAACTAAAAAACAGAGATAATGTCACGATGAGAGGTACTTACAAGAGAAAAACATTATAAGCCCATTATTAACATCCCAAGCCTAAAAACTAATGTAATTTTCAACATGTCTTTTCTTCTTTGCATCTAGTCTTTCACCAAATGCTTCTTACATCATTTTTTAAATCTGTGCTTTACACTCTGCACTTAGTCACATGCTTAATTCAAGTCTAGGACAATTGTCTCCTGCTATGTTTTTAGCCATCTCCAGCATTCCCCCCGACCTCTGATTTCTTATCAAAATATGATACCAGCCAGCTACAAAATAAAATACATATATACACACACACATATATATATGAGAATCAGAGAATCACCCCATCTAGCTGGTTTGACTTGGCCGCTGTCTTCCTACAGCTCTAAAACAGCCTCCTCCATGTTACAGAACACCCACATCAAATCCCTTGAAAAACTATCGTACTTCACTTCCCTCCCTTACCACAAACAGCGGCTGAGACTATACCTTGTGATTAATGCAGGTGCGATGTTTAAGTCATAGGCTTTAACCTCCAAGAGATTACACAACCTGCCAACTTCCTGGTTAGGAAGTTGGGATATGTGCTAAAATATAATAATTCAGGATACTATATACTAATAGCACAGACAACAGTGATAAATGCTACAGGGGTGAGAATGGGAGAGCTACTTCTGGCTGCAGCAGTCAAGGAAGGCTTCCAGAAAGAGGTCACATGTGAGCTACCTTGCAGCACAGGCAGAACTTCAACAGGGAGGGAGAAAGGCAAACAGGTTTTCTGGGCCAAGGGCCCGACATAACTGAGTCAAGGAAGGAGGGCAGTTTCAAGACCAGCATATTGTTAAAATGGGACTTGAGAGGGCACTTTTTGAAGAGTTTACAAGGTAACTAGCAAGCTTAGTGGTAGAAACAGCTAATTTTTCCACTCAAACCCGTCTACATAGTTTAAGAAGGTGGAAGAGAAAAACAAAGTTTAATAATCTAACCAAACAATGAGAAGAATAACAGCAGGGAGTGGTAAAAAAGAGCCCTGAAAATCGGAAAACCTGGATCCCAGGCCCAGCTTTGCCAATAAGGGGTTTGGGCGGCCACAGCAAGTCATCTAACCTCGCTGGTCTCAGTTTTCTCATTTGTAAACTGAAGCAGCTGAACTGGCTGACCTCGAAGGTCTCTGCAGTCCAAAACTAGACCAACTGTATATTATTTCTGCCATTAAAACATTCATCATGGAGAGAATGCAGGAGGGGTTCTCTTTCCAGATAGGTTTCTCTTCCTGAACTTACCATCTCTTTTCCCTAAACTTACTTCTTCTATGTATACGCCTCCCACATCACAAATTTAACACTTTACTGTCGAATTTCACTACAGACTTCAATTTAAAGGGGAGCTGATTACAAAGAAGGGGGGGGGTACGTGTAAAAGCACTTGTTTCATCTTTGCGGCACCTAAATAGGATTCAGTGTGTGCCCCCTGGCCTGAAATTTTGCTTATGGCTCAAAGATTTTCCAAGAAATTTGTGCAACACACCCTAATACCGCAGCCCCGGGTAAAATATCTCCGTATAAGCCACAAGATGTGACATGGTAAATCAATAGGGGGAAAGCGAGAACTCTGTTACTCACCTAAAAGACCGCTTCCTTTTAATAGCACTAAACGCAGCCCGAAATAACAGTGTTTAATGGTAGGGGAGGCGATCTTACACTGTGTAAAGTCTCTACGTGAAAATGCAGCTGAGACGCGGCAAGTTTTTGGCACTGAAATTCGCTGAAAACTGACATTTTTTATGCCGCATCCAGAAGACCTCACGCTCCAGGAAAGTCCCCCAAACCAGAAAGCGCGGGTGCGATTTCACTCGAGCCCTATCGACCCGATGCACCAAAAGGCCAAAGGCAAGCAAACGTCCACAGCATTCGAACGCAACGCCGGACCACAGCGCGTCGCCAGCAGCCGCGCAAAGTGTGACACAAGACTTGACACTCACGCAGGGAGTCATCACGCAGTTCTCGGGCTCACTGCTGAAGCAGTGTAAACACACGGTGTCACACCTGCGGGCACCACACGCTGCCCAGCGGGGACGCCACGCGAGCGAGGGAACCGGACAAAGTGCCCCCGAGCCGCCGCGCGCCCCCGAAAAAGTCCAGCTTTCCTTTCCATCTGCCTGTCCGCGCGTCCCGTACCTGCGTGGCCGTCCGGCCGTGCACGCTGCAGCCCCCGCTCCCGCTCGGAATCCCCGCGCCCGCCGCTCCGCTCCGCCGCTGCTCCCGGTGGCCGCCGCGGGGCCGCGCTCGCGCTACTCCCCATGCCCAGCCGCCACCCGGCCCCCCGACTCCCAGACCGCCTG